TTTTTTTTTTTTTTTTTTTTTTTTTTTTTTTTTTTAATTTTTACGCAATAGAAAACAACAATGCTCCAAAAAAAATATATGGGCGTGTAGTTTTTTTTTTTACGCTAAATCATGGGGAAAAAATTGTTCCACCAAACTTGGCTGGTCGGCCGTGGCCGAACCAAGCCGATTTGGCCGACGGCCACTGCCGCGGCCGACTTTTCGGCCCCGACCGTGACCGGGCGTGGAACATAGCAGTACAGGGTTCGCCGCCTGCATTTGTGATATTTCATTACAATCTGCGCTATGGTTTGACTCCTGACTCGACTGTTGCTGTTGTGGTTTGCCCGATCGTGACCGCATGGAGGGTTCCTTCATTTGCGTTGTCGTCCCTAGACACGATGTCTTCGTCGAGAGGCGAGGGGGAATCTGCCAAGACCTCCGGGAGGGAATCAGGAAAAGATTCCACAAGACGGTCGTCTATGACTTTAAAATCATGGTCGGATCACACAAGGTCGAAATGGTTCGTTCACTGGTGTTGTGGAGACGCTTCCAACCCCGTTAAGCAGTTGTGTACTCCTGTCATCTTTGTCGACGTCAACAAGCGGCGTAGGGTGCTTGGGGCTGTCTTGCGGGGGGAGGATGTGAAAGGGAGTCGGCGACGGTTCTGGATGAAAAATGTTTACGGTGCGAAGGGTAACGTTGTTGCCAATTTAAAGCAGGCGCTGCTGGACATGGATTTGTTCGAGGGGTTCGGAGCGGGTGCTGTGAACAGCCCGTTCTACAACGAACTCTTTCGGCAGGGTGGGTTTGTTTTGGCTCGAGAGTTTTTTAACTTGTTGGAGGAGAAGGACGACGGCCTTGACGTCCCTTGCGACGTCGGCCCTGACCTGGAGTTTTCAATGCCCGTGCAGTTGTGCAGCGGTTGCGAATCCAGTGGGGTTGCGTTAGAGGGGGGGGATTTTGGTTCTGGTGCGGCTACTCAGCTGCAGTGAGGCGAGAGCCGTGGTCAATTTGACGACAACGAAGATGAGGCACCACCGTTGACGACCACTTCGCCGTTGAGGCAAAGACACTGGTCCGTGCTGTTTATACCTAGGGTCCGACAAACCGCTCCGGTTCGAGAGGAGCTTGCTGCGGCTGCCGGAAAGGTGGAGGTCCACTCGGAGGTCGGCTTGGAGACTGGCGAGAGCCATGGCACAGAGGACGAAACCGTGGGCGGGGAGGGGACGCAGGGCACTCCGCAAAAGAGAATGGGGGATTGTCAAGACGACATGGTCGGCTCTTTGAAGAAATTGAAGACCAAGGCCCCGCAGAGTGTGGGGGAGAAACGGAAGGGAACCGGGGGGAAGCATGACTGTCAGGGTACCAAACGTCTGGCTTCGAAACAGAAGCAGCCTACATTGGGACCTTCCTCGCCACGACCTCCCATCGATCTCGACGCCGGGTGATTCCTCGAGTACAAAGACGGGGTCAAGACAAAGCTGGAGTTCGAGATTAGCCCAGCTCAGGTAATAGACCTCGGGGAGTAGGAGGGTCTGTACAACCAGCGGTCCCTGGATCCCGTCCTCGTGGAAGGGATCAAAGAAGCGATGTGGTTGGCGTTCAATAACAAAGAACAATTGTATGAGTTACCAACCTTGAAGTTGGCACCTCTAGGGCTGAGAAAGCTCCCGGGGCCAAGGCCGTATGTCTGAAACCAGAGGACTGGAAGGACGAGCTGGCGGGCCAATACTACTACTACGTGGTGTGTGGGCAGCACAACACGACTGCGACCAGGTTACAGATGAGGGCCTAACAATCAACGCGAGGGACATGTCCGCCCCTGCATCTAGTGGAGAGGACCCCTGCCTCTCGTCGTCCCTCATGCCTCCATGGCCTGCGTGGAACCCTGGTCCCTGTGCAGTGTGCATGCTGTGCGACGTCATCCTCTGTCTTCCAATCACAACCAAAAGTCAGTAAAAATGGGCAGACCAGACTACTCTAATCTTTGTGCGAGTACACCCTGAGTCAGACAAAAGACCGAGAAACATATGAAGTGCCACTCCAGTGACTACAAGATGGGTAAGAGGAAGCAACTGGCCTAGCCGAGTTGCTACACCCGTGAACTGTCAAAATAAAGACCCGAGTTGGAATGCGCATTGCAATGAGAAGAATAAAATAAGCTAGTCTTGAAATGTCAGGGCCAGTCAGTTCGAGAATAATATCTCATACCAACGAGCCTCACTCAGTTGGTACCCACACGAACAGTTGAAATACGGACTTGAGTTCTACTCCAGATACAATCAGATGCCCAGAACTACATAAAGTGATATCTCAAGGTTTTCCTTTAGTGTTTGCCATAGCCACTGCTGCTACTTTTGAGTTAGCTGCCCCCCCCACCAGTGGCCCCACCCTACTCCCTGACCACCACAGATTCGGGTGGGGGACAACATGCATCCCCTTAATTGTGAGAGGTAGCTATGCTTGCAGGGGTGTCCCCTGTATAGGCTACGGAGTAGTGGTAAATAGATAGTGAATGGTGAAATTGAGAGAAGACTATAAGGGCATCGTTCGACACTCCTCGGCTCGTCCTCGGGCTCCAAGGACGAATCCTCATAGTTTTTTCTTCTTTTTTGGAGGTGTCGTTCCACCTGTCCTCGGAGAATCGCCCTGAGGACGAATCCTCGGGGCCCTCCCGCGGCCAGTTTCATTAGATTATACACTGCCCCGAGGGGATTGTCCGACCTCCGATTCGGGATGTCCGTGTAGGAGGCGTGGTGGTCCAGCAGGCGGATGACGACAATACGTCACGGGCCCTGGAAACGAAAATCGCCAACGCAGGACTGGCCCAGTTCGAAATTCGAAATTTGAATTTGCGTCTTGCGGAGCGACGGTGTGACGGCGCACAGGCGGGTAGGCGAGGGGGGGCAGTGCATGCCGCGCAGGGTTTCGGTTGCCATCTCGTTGCGTACTTCAGCGGCGTCGCACCGCCACTGTCTCAAGTGTGGTTGACGTGGCAAAACGAAGAGGGGTATCGACAGTTGCGCTCGGCACGCGGAGGCGCGCGGCGGTTCCGTACTTCAGCGGAGGTGGGCGGACGCTCCAATCGGGGTGGAACATCGTTGAACACGGTTGTCTTCCTGACCTGATTGCAGGCGTCTTCAATTGTGGTGGCAGACGTAGACGCAGGTGGGTGGCGGTGGACGTTGTTTTTCGTATTGGAAGGGCGTAATGGAGGGCTGCGATGAGAATGGTCGTGTTGTGCTATCGAGGACAGAGAAGACAACTGTCGCGGCAGCTGCGGTTGCCGTTGTCCGTCGATTCCAAGTCGAGAGGGCGGTCGGGCACATGAAGGCAACGCTTTCGAGGAGGCGGCAGAGACTTTTGCTGCAAACGGTGTTGGACGTCCTGGATTGCATTACCACTTCGGAGGCCGTGGTTCAACTGTGCGCTGCTATCAAGTGCGGTGTGCTTCCTCGGGCGACGCCTCGTTGGTGGATGAGGCAGAGAGCTGGCATGACTTGGGAGGATTTGCGGGTGTGCGATGACGAGATAGACGACTACTTCCGGGAAAAGCTCCGTATGTCCAGGAGAGTGTTCATGGAGATCACCGAAGCCTGTGCGGCTCATTTGCAACGACATGTTACGTTTTACAGGGAGCCACTTCAGCCGGAGCAGATCGTCGCGTACAAGCTGTACAGGTGGGTTACAGGAAAGTTATACGACAAGAACACATCATCCTTCGGCATGGGCAGGGCTTCTGGAGTTCGAGCCGTGCGCGATGTGAGAAGCGCTATGTTGAGGGTGTATGGGGACAAGATATCGTGGCCGACGAGGGTGCGAAAACACTTTGTGCTACGGGCGTTTCTGGACAAGGGCTTTCTCGACTGCCATGGCGCAATTGACTGCACACACATCTACGTGGACAAACCGGCGAACGTGCCGAGCGAGAACTACTTCGACCGCAAGCATTGTTTCTCCGTCATTGCGCAGGTGGTGGTGGACTTGGATCTGCATGTGCTTGACGTGTCCATTGGATATCCGGAAAGCTGCCACAACATTAGGGTGATCCAGCTGTCAAGTCTCTACAGGCGCGCAGAAGAAGGAATGCTGTTTCGTGGGCCGCCTGTCACGCTGCCGGGAGGGGTGAGGACGAACGGATACATCTTGGGGGACAACGGGTATCCTCCTTCTGAATGGGTGGTGGTTCCATCTGGAGGAATGAATCAGCACCCAGACGAGGAAAGGTTCGACACGAAGAAGAAGGTCGCAAGAGGAATTGTGTAGAGGGCATTCGGGAGGTTGAAGGGGATGTGGAGGCTCTTCTTGCGGACGCACAAGACAAACCTCGACACTCTACCGCAACAGTTCACGGCCTTCTGCATTCTCCACAACATCCTTCTCGACACCGGTATCGAGTTCGACGAGAATCTGTTATGGGAGGTTGACGAGAACGGGGTGAGGCGCCGAGTGGACCTGGGACGATGTTGACTTCGATGCACGCGGCACACGCGCTCCGCAATGTGCTGGCGGAGCGAATGAAACACATGTGATCCTGCCTACCGCCTGCCTGTTTCTCTCCTAGAAAACTTCTTAGTTAAAGTCGTGCTCCACCGTCGTCGATTCACAGCGCTTGCGTCTTTCGCTTGCACGCGCAATTACTTCGGACGGTTTGCCGTCGCGGACGGGTTGTTTTTAGGTGTTTGTTGTTGTAGTCGATGGTAGACTGCTTGTCCAGTTCATCGATCATTGGCAGTGACGCGGCTTCATTGTTGTTGTAGTTGCCGCAACGGTAGTGTGGTTGTTGTTTCGGTCTTCCTTGTTGCTGTAGTGGTACTGGTGGGCGAAATGGTGTTCCAGCAGAATTCCGTGCATTCGGGGACGGGAATTCCGTGCATTCCGTGCATCAGATTTGGGTAGGCGGGGGGGGGGGAAGGCGGGAGGTGAGGGGCGGCACGAAGCACATTGTCAGCCCGCTGTTTCGCATGCGCTTTATATCACTGTTTCTCTTCAAATTCAACGATATATGTTTTTTTATAATGTTGTGTAAGGACTTCTTCGTGCGTTCGACTGCTATTCTTCTTTAGAGAACACATTTTTTTGTCGAGTACATGATACGTCTGTCATGCATGTTGTCTGCAGTTTTCTGCGTTTGCTAAAGTGAGTCGGTGAAGCTTCGTTGTTCCACTAACAACTTACATGCAAAAAAAAAAAAAAAAAAAAAAACTCATGACAAATTGGTTATTTCGGCAACTGCGAGGTGAACTTCCTTTGAATGTTTTTTTTTTTTTTTAATTGGCTTCCATCCCGTGCCGACGATCATCACGATTTAGCGATGTCATTATGAACAGAAAGATGACCAACAAACATAAAAAGATGACAGTAAAAGTGCGTAGATAGGTTCCTTCCTGTTTTCATTGTTTTCTTTTGTTTTGTCAGGTGCCGACGATGATAACGATGGTGCGATTCCTAAGATCGAATGAAGGGCCCCAGACATAAGAAGACGTGGACGAGAATGCGATGGCCACTAACGCATGCGACACGTGATAAACCCACATAAAAGGCAAGAAAAACAGTCTTGCGTGAGCTGCGTGAGCAATCGTAAGCATGCAAACACACGCTGTCGACACAGAAACATAAATGTGAGGAAATTCATTGAATAACACAACAATGTTCAGGCGGCGATCCACTTTTCTCCTGGCTATCCACCCTCCAAACGGCCCACACAAAAGACGGAGGTATCGTCCACCTACGTTGCCACTTGTATGAGTACGGAATCGTACTCTTGTACTCGTACGCTACTCGTACGCTTGGGGCCCCGTACAAGTTTTTTTTTTGTTTTTTTTTTTTTAAATCCGGTATTGTTTTGATTTTTCTTCTCAAATTCTAATAAGAATCTGAAGATGATGCTCAACCAAATGTTGCTTGTTTTGTGTGGTTGCATCACATGGTTTTTTTTCGGATTATGACTTTTTTTTTTTTTTTTTTTTTTTTTTTTCCCGTAAGGGGGCGTACAAGACGTACAGGTTCCCGTACAAGTTCCCGTACAGATCCTGTACAGAAATAACCTGTACGTTTCGTACGGGAAGCCCCCGTACATGTACTCTATGCAACGTAGTCGTCCACTAAGCTAAGATACCGTTTTGTGGAGCACAATAGTAAAGTGTGCTCCAATCACAATAAAGAACGGGGAGAAAAAAAAAAAAAAAAACCGTTCACAACACATCTACTTCGACGCGATCTGCTGACGTCGCCATGCCGTTGGACCGCGCACCTTCCCCCCGCTAAACCACCAACACCCCCAACACCCATCCCACACGTGCACTAACGTCTGCAGTCGAAGGCGCACAGTTTGTCGTTTCCTGATCCCACGGGCCAATCGGTCGACTATCTGCACCCCGCCGCTGCCTTATAGACGAACCCACGTGTCAACTGCCCTCATCTTCATTGTCGTCCGCCGCGGGCCCGCTGTCGATCCAGCCGTGTTTTGCGGCTTCCGCTGCATTCTTCAGGGCCGCATTGTGCTCGAACACCAACCCTCAATCATACCATTCCGGGATGCAATGAGGGTAATTTCCCAGTGTCAGGTGGGCCTTCCCAAGACGATCCAGGACGAGGTTGGTGGTGTCGACGATGTGTCTCTGCCAGTTGAAGATTTAGGACCCCGCCGCTATCATTGTGGGTTTTGCGACCATAGACGAGTAGAACCACCCCTCGTAGTGCGAACGGTCGTCGTCACTACCCATGTGCATGATCCACATGCACGTGCTCAACAACGCTCGAACTCTGAAACACCCGCGGACGCGTCCGCGGGGCCGAGCTTTGAGGGCGGATGTATTCACGGCCACCTCCACGGCCTACCGGGTCCGCGTCGCGGATGCGATTTTACCAGATTTTTCCTGAATTAAATAATAGCCCCCCAAAAAACAAAACAAAACAAAAGAGGTTGTAGGGAATTTTAAGCCCAACAACCCCATTTTTTTTTTTTTGGAATCTGACTTTGTTTAGAATTTTTTAAAAATCAAATACTAAATTCAAATTAAAAAAATAAAAATAATAAAAATAAAGAAAAGATGGAATTTTTTTTTGTCATTTCTTATCATCAGATATATGGTCCCTGAGTTCACCTGTATTTTTTAGAAATGAATTTCTGTTTTTTGCAGGGGTATGAGGTGTTTTAGAAAAATAAAGATGCAGAATTTGAAAATAAATAAACAAAAAACTTGAAAAAAAGGGTTTGATTGATTGATTGATAGATTGATTGATTGTGTGTGAGTGTGTGTGTGTGTGTGTGTGTGTGTGTGTGTGTGTGTG